CTTGAGTCACAAATTGGCTGTAAAATTATGTTATATTATTTAAATCAATTGAATATATATATATATATATATATAAGTGTATATGTTTATATGTTTACCTTTCAAAATAATTAATCTATGGATGCTCGCAATTGAGAAGAATATAAAGGTGTGCACTATGGACGTCTTCATCACTCGACCACCAAACCTCTTTCAATTTCTCACCCAATCGCCCAATTTGACAAAAGATGTCTGGAACATCTTCTTCCATATATGTCGGCACGACACCACCATCATCATATCTCCTTGGAGCTCGTTTCCTTGTATGTACTTTCGGTGCAAAGTAGTACGATGTGACATGTGATGTTTCTTCCGTCAAACTTCCCGCAACAATAGAAACTTCAACTTTTCTAGGTTTTATATGTAGCTCACTTCTTGAGCAGATATCGGGTAAGTCCAACCTCAATTTTACGTTGTCTTTCGTCTTCCCTGGGACATTCAATATAGTGTTCACGATGTTCTCAAAAAAATTCTTCTCTATATGCATCACATCCAAGTTGTGGCCCAAAAGAAGATCTTTCCAATATGGCAATTCCTAAAATATACTCTTCTTGTGCCAATTGTGCTGAACACCATAAGAATCAGACATATTACTGGGAACATGCCAATTCCCACCACAAGGAGCTGTTTCTAGAGCACCGTAGTAATCGATTTGCGCTTTGACTTGTTCTCCAGTTATAATGGAGGAGTGTCTCTGACAACCCTTTTGTGCCTGAAGAATGTCTTGTTTCTTCGGTATGGGTAGTAAACAGGAAGAAATCGACGGTGACAATCGAACCAACTAGTCTTCCTACCATTCTTCAACTGAAACGCATTTGTACTTCCATTTCAATATGGACAAGCTAATCTCCCATGTGTAGTCCATCCAGACAATATCCCATATGCAGGAAAGTCACTTATGGTCCACAAAAGCATCGCTCGCATCGTAAAATTTGTTTTCGTTGAACAATCATATGTCCTCACCCCTGTTGACCACAAATCGTTCAACTCTTTTATCATTGGTTATAGAAAAACGTTGAGAGATCTTTTTGGATGCTTTGGACAAGGTATTAATATGGTCAAGAATAGAAACTCTCGTCGCATGCACATCTCCGGTGGCAGGTTGTACGGTGTAAGAAAGACTGGCCACAATGAATATTGTCTCCCTGACATTCCAAATGGACTAAATCCATCAGTGCATAATCCAAGATACACATTCCGGCTATTGCTAGCGTAATGTGGATGTACTTTGTTAAAATGTTTCTAAGCTCTTACATCTGATGGATGAGTCGTCTCTCCATCCGTCTGAGTATGCTCGGCGTGCCATCTCATCTCTTCAACAGTCTCCTCAGATTGGTACAATCTTTTCAATATGTCTGTGATTGGTAGGTACCACATCCTTTGGTACGGTGCCCTATTACGCCCTCGTCCTTGCGGTTTGAATCGTGGCTTTTTACAAAATCGACATTCTTCTAACTTCTCATCATCTTCCCAGTAAATCAAGCAGTTGTCAATGAAAACGTCTATCATATCCGAGGGTAACCCAAGACTATATACCAATTTATGAATCTCATAATAAGATTCAGTAGACACATTGTCTTATGGCAAATACTCTTTAAACAAGTCTTCCCATGCATCCATACAATTTTCAGGTAGATTGTGATCGGTTTTAATACTCATCATTCTAGCAGCCAATGACAATTTAGATAGACCTTCTCTACAACCACTGTAAATTGGCTCATTCGCATCTTCTAACATTTCATTAAAAAAAATTGCATCTAAGTTAGGTTCTTCAACTTCATCATGAGTTACAAATGCATTACCTACCATATCATGAACCCCATCACAATCTACCATTTGTTCCTTCTGGTGATAGCTATTTTCTTTATGAAAATGATCAACCTGATCAACCTAAAAATTGTTATTACTATTGCTAGCTTCATTCCTACAACTAGCATCTTCTCCATGTTGATACCAAATATAATAATATGGCATGAAACCTCTATTTATTAAATGCTTCCAAACATTTTCACCAGGGCCTAATTTTGTGTTGCAGCATTTTAGACAAGGACAGAACATCTTACCACTTTCCTGCGTGAGTGGTGTAGAATCTGCTTGATGCATAAACGTCTCCAACGCTTTGAGAAATTCTTTTGTTAGTCTCCCGTTATTATCTCTGTGTGAATATATCCACTTCCGCAACTCGAAAATATTTTCAGGAATGGACATTTTTTTTTCTTTGATCAAGCTTAAAGCTGATTTTTTTGTGTGTGTTTGAAATGAATTACAAATGATGGTATTTATAGAAATTTTCGAATCTGGTATAGGTGAACATTTACTAGGAACGTGAGAGGAAAAATATGTACAAAACACGTTTTTAGATTTAAAATAGATATTTTCTAGCAAGTCCCTCGCTAATTAGAAGTAAAAGAACATTTTCTCCTAATTCAGTAGTAATGTTTTACGTCAACTTTACGAGGAAAACAATAAATAAGGTAGTTTCGTCGCTAAAACACAGTAAATGGTTTCCTCGTAAAACCAACGAAAAGCTTTACTACGAAATTACTAGGAAATGGCTTTCGCCACGTAGTTTCCTCGTAATTTTACTACGGCCTTACGAGGAAACATTTTTCTCGTATATTTACGAGGAAATTACTTTGCTTCTGCCTTTCCTCGTAAAGTCGTAGTAATTGCGTCGTAAATTTACGAGGAAAGAGTTTCCTAGTAAAATTTCCAAGTAAATTCGGAGTTTTCTTGTAGTGATAGTTTTTTTTTAAAAAAAAACTAATGAATGAATCATGCAAGAGAGCATGGTAAACTCTGGCTTTTTATCATACATATACTTTACTTGTGATTTAAGTTACTATTTTTGTATGATTTTGTGGGTTGTATTTTAAGTTTGCATTTGCAATAGATATGTATGATAATGATTTTTGTCATTTAGAAAGTTTTAGGTGAAAATGAGTTATAAGTGGTAAGATTTTTTTTGTTGTTGTTTACAATAGCTGTTTTTGTATTAAAGATTTGACATTGAGATGCTGTGAGGGTTTCGAATGGTCTTTATATTGTTTCTTTAAAAAAAATTGATCCATATTTGATGTCAAAATGTTTTTTTTCTTAATAATAATTCTTGTATAGATTTAAGTAAAGATTTTTTAGTTAGTCTCATACACAGACTTTTAGATTCATCGATCTAAATTGAACGGTTTTGAGATATATTAAATTTTCTATGTTACAATTGAAACAAAAACATAGAAAAACACACTGGTTAAATTTTAATCGTATGTTAAAAGAGAATCCTGGACTACGATCCTTCACAGAACATGTAGATTGGGCTACTTTACTATGACGTTTCCATTTCTTAACTATGTTTTTGTTTAAAAAATATTATTAGTTATATAATACAGTTAATAGTTTTACAATTATAAGCATAGCTACATCATTCACATTTTCCATATTGTAATACATGTATATAACTCTGACAAATCAGTTTTCATGTACTTAAGTTATTTCATCCACTGCCGCAGATAACCAGATAAAGCTATCAGAGTTACACATTTTAATTGATCATGGATTTTCAAACGGAGAGCTAAGCAAACCTGGAAAGTCACATAAAGCACATATGTTTACTTCATGGTGTGGAACAAATCGGGCAGTGCAGTAAAGACAGTACACATCATTTTGTCCTCTGCAGATCGGGCGTATCATAAATGGGTTTCAGAAGATGTAAGCTTGGTTTTTCATCAGTCATGTTACATTGGTTTCTACATGTGTTGTCAGCTTGGTTTGGCTCGCTAGATTTGGGGTTAGTTCCCAAAAATCTTCTGGCAGAATTATAAACAACAACAACTCTTTGACTAGTTCTAGCAGTGATTAAAGTAAAATTCAACATAAAATTGTTATGGTTTTAACTTATTATATTTTTGTCAAGCATTTGTTATCACATTATGTATTTTAATTTTTATGTTTTTTTTGGTGTTGTGTTTATTTGATTAATGAAAACATAATGTTATTATTATGTGGTCTGCCATTTTGTCAATACAAAAGTTGAAGTGAAAGTAATGTTTTTCATTGAAGTATTTGTGTTTGGTTTATTAGCAATTTCGTTATTTTCTCCTCATCTTATTTTATACGGTATGTATTTGGTAAATGTTTTAACTGGATTATTTTGTATAAATTTTTATTCTATATGTTTTCTATTTTTATTTGTGAATTGCAAACATGTTGGTTGTTTTTATATATTCGAAATACAACATCTTTGGATTTTACTTAATATCATGAAAAACAAAATCAAATTTGTAAAATAACAGTTTGGGTAATCTTCTCAAATAGATCTAGATAATGTTTTTTGACCAAAAGAGCAAACAAATAGATAAATGATTAAAAATTTCATTAAAAAGGTAAAAGTTTCTTCCACAATTAATTTTTAAATATAAATAGATTAATTAAAACAAATTTAATTTTGGAAAATGTATTTCAGTTTGAATTTTTTTATTTTTTTTTTTGCAAAATTCTTTGTTCAAACGAAAAGAAATTCAAAATTTTATTTTGAAATCCGCAAATTCATTTTGAAATTTTAGAATTCGTTTTGAAACTATTTATAAAATTATTCTTTTAAATATTCATTTTTAAAAAAGCCTAAAGTCCTTCACAAAACTCATCCTCAACCCTAGGGATATAAATATTTTTTACCTATTGTATATAACATTCTGGTCATTTTTATCTTTGTGTGTGCTATATTTATGATAAAACTTTAGTGCTATACTTAAAATTTTCTCTAATAGATTTGTTGAGATTTGTGTGAGCATAATAATACTTTTTTGCGGCACTCTTCCCTTTCTTTTATTTTTCACTTGTTAAAGTTCATTCGGTAATCATTCCACTATAAATTGGTCTCTAAATTGTAAGTCCTATTCAAATCGATTTATCAGTGTGAATGTTAGAAATTTTATGGGACCTAGATAACTTAGTTAAGTGTAAAATTAATGTATGTTTTTCTTTATCGAGAGCAACTTAAAGGTCCACCAGAGCGGCTTACATTGCACATCATCTGCTTCAAACCATTCAAACAGAAGAACAAATAATCTTCTGAGATTCTCAATAAAATCTTGATTTATGTATTCGCTTCTGAATAGATAATTCTCACGACTACCCTCATGCACAAACTCGTACACAAGAAGCTGTTGTTCATCTTCCAAACAATAACCAATCAGTTCAACTAAGTTTAGATGACTTAACTGCCACAAGTAGTTGATCTCTGTCTGAAAAAATAATACCCAAACAGATCAGAGAATCAAACAATAAATGTTTAAGATGGGAGTGACATAATAAAAAGAACAATGTTGTGTATCACACATTCTCAGTGACCTTGAAAGCCATCAGTATTAGGACGCTTGACAGCAACTAATATACCAGTGCTGGATCTAGTTGAAGCTAGATTAGTCTCATCATTCCAACCTCTATAGATAGAATCGAAACCGCCTTCACTGGCAACTGAGCCTTATCTCAAGTTTCTGGTTGCACATTTAAGTTTGTTAAATGTAAGGCTCTTAACGTTCAATTTGCTAAGTATCTCTCCTTCTCTCTTATGAGCTGTCGATGATGATGATGATGATGATGATGATGATGATGATGATGATGATGATGATGATGATGATTGAACACTTGAGAGGTGAAGGTCGTAGAGACCACTGCTTGTATCTTCAGAAACAGACACACAAAGGGTTGACTCAAGTCAAAACTAAGGATAATTGGAGAAGGTGGAAGCTTTTTAACTTAGATCATGTGAAATCTCACAAAATTCATTCCTTTTCTCAGAACCTATCACTAATAAGCTGATAAAAGATGGAATTTGAAGAAAAACACTTGTCATAATTTTTTTTATAAATATTTTGGCACTGTACAAAGAGAAAATTAAAAAGGAGAAGGACCACGCAAAAATCATCTCCCAAATACATAAACTCAAGCTTTTCAGGAAATAGTTTGATGATTATGAGTTTTCTTGCCGGAATTACATTTACGTCGAGAGTGAACATGTCTAGCCCATAAGCTCGCTGCCACGTTTCACATTTTTTTCTTCCAAACCTAAGCATGTGAACTTGGACGGTTGAGGTGCATAATGGCTAGCCTTCAAATCAATGAAGAAGAGAGGGGGGTTAGTAATTCTTAACTCTGAAAGTTTAGAAACCTATATGATCGATATGAACATCGATGGAATGAGACTATCTGTTTATAGTGGAAGAATTACAAAATGGAAGTAATGAGGGATGCATTGAATCACAAATCGTGTGAATAGTGGGAGATGTTTTTAAAGAGTGAGTTAAAAGGCGACGTTTGGATGCATTTGTCTTCAGTAACCTATCTACAAATTACTCAATTGAAGAAGGGGAAGGTATAAACATTGTGACCTTTTGTATTTTTTTTCTGTGATGTCAAACTATTATGATTTGTAGTTCATATATTAGAAAACGTTAAAGCTCGTACAATAACAAAACGTTTAATCTTGTGAAATAGCAAATGAAAGTGAAAGAATAAACACATTCTGACACGTGACATGTTCTTCTCCCTCTATTTAATGATGTGGCCACACCAAGGGAGAAAACTCTACTTTATATAATAACTAGGGTTGGTCTGCCCATATATTTTATTTGTAATTTAAGCTAGTTTTTTATGATTTTGTAGTTTGTGTTTTAGGTTTACATTTGCAAGAGATATATATGATAATTTTCTTTTTTTTTAATAAAGTTTCAGATGAGGAATAATTATATGTAGTAAAATATATTTGGCTTGTCCACAATATTTATTTCTATATTAAAGAGTTATAACATTAATATGTTGTGAAGGTTTGAAATAGTCTTCATGTTGTTTCTATAATATCACCTCTTTATATTTTATAACATTTTTAAAATTAAACCAAAAAAAAACCCTAGAATACTAATACAAAATATATAGCCATAACATCGTTAGTTTGAATTCATTTTTTAAGAAATAGACAAAACAACATTGATTTACTACTAACGTTGGAGTTGGTCCACGCTTTACACATGAAGTAAGTATATTTGGTATAAGAAATGTTTTTATTTGGAAATATTTGATTATATATGTCGCCTGAATTATTATTTTTGTGATTGCCATTTTTATTTTATTAATTTTTTGGCTAAAATGATTTGATTTAGAATGTTGAAATGGTTGAATTTCGTGTGATGTATTTAACTATATTTTCGATAGCTTTCAGAAGCGAACTTGTATATGCATAAGATTTTTTGTTTGTTATTATTTACAGTTTAATAAGTCTGGTATTGATTTGTGATATGTTTTCATGGTTTGTGCGTTTATGCTTGCAACCGTAGGAAAAGTTTCCAGAATAAAGTTTTGACTACACACTATTAATTAGCGATTTATATTTTGCACATCCTTAATCCTAAGTCTGTCACTTCTTTTCCAGTTGCCAGGATCAGCTAAATATTTTAAAAATGATCAGCAAACTATAGTTTAAATGTCCAAGGATTTATTCATAACTTTGTTAGCTGACTTGTTTTACTTATAACAATGCTTGGGCTAATTCAAATTAAATTTATAAATTATAATACTTTTTCCACCAAATTAATATATACTTATGCGGGGGTTTATAGTGCAATAAATGTACCTGCCTATAGTTTATCTCGTCTTTGTTTTGTTTGGTGTTAATAATTTGGAGGTTGGATCCTTTTTGTTTATAAAAAAAAAGAATAATAGATGTATTACATAAGAGTGTTCCGAATGATTAAATTAGCTTATAAGAGTGATAGCTGTATCATAAAAAGTAAATTTGAACCAAAAATATAAGTTAAAACTTATGTCACGAAATAAAATCATGTTAATGTAAGATCCTCTTGCATCGCATCAATAAACCACAAAGTCATGTGCCGTAGATAATAACTTAAGGCCCACACTTTAGTTGAAAGCCCAGCTGAAAAGAAGACTCAGCCCAGACAAAAAGAAGACGCTCACAAAACACAGTAGCAAAGGATATGGACATGTGTCATGCCGTGGGAGAACGATTTGATGTATCTAGGGTAAGTCCGCGTGAATTGATTCATTATATTTTAAATTTTATTTTTAAATAGTTTTTTAATATTTGTGTGGATCAATATTTTAAAGTTGTTTAAAACAAATAATGTGACTTTTTTATTTTAAAATTTGTTTGAAAGGATTTTGTTTTATATTTTGTGTGGATCAATATTTTTACTAGGGCTGGGACTTAATATCCGCTATCCGCTATCCGATCCGGGATCCGTCCCGATCCGCTCCGAAAAAACGGATATCCGGGGGGTCCGGATCCGGATCCGGATCCGGATAGTGATTTTGCGGATCCGGATAGTGAAAATTTTAGTCCGGATATCCGGATCCGGATCCGGGCCCACTAAATATTTTTAAAATATTTAAAATATAATTAAATTTATATAGATATATTATATATAATTTTTATTAAAATAACTAAAACTTAGTTTTATTAATTTTTATTAGCTTTTTAAACTTTTTTGAAAAAAAATAAATTTTTAATTGAATAAATATATGTTTAATTTTTAAAAAAAACTAAATTTAATTTTGATTTTTTAATTATTTTTTTTTTTTAAAAAGGATCCGGATATCCGCGGGTATTCGGGTTTTAGTCCGGATATCCGAATCCCGGATATCCGGAAGGCCCGAATCCGGATCCGGATATCAATTTTACGGATCCGCCGAATCCGGATCCGGATCCGGATATCCCAAAATACCCCGGATATCCGATCCGTCCCACCCCTAATTTTTACTATGTCCTTATAGATATTTTAGTTTATATTATATTTCTATTATGTCCTTATAGATATTTTAGTTTATTTGTTAAATATAAATTATCTAATTTTATATGCTTTCTTTGTTTGTTCTCAGACGATTTTATATTGTGTCTTTGTTGGATTATATAAAGACATATTTTTATCTTCATAACAATTTTAAAATTCTGATTCAATTTTTAAGAAAGTTACAAATATTTTAATTTTCACATCATGAATACAATAACCCTACATTCAGTGTTTACAATAATTACAAAACATATTTATTTTATACTAAAACCATTTAAATGAAATTTTCATAAAGTATTTAATTTTCATATTTTCTATAGCAATTTTCATTATTTGATTTATTTTTCTCTTTATTAATTACATATTTATTTGTCTATTAAAACAATTCATGAAAATGTAATTAATTATTTATTCTTGATTTTTTTTGTTGTGGTTTAATTTTGAAAGCAAGTAGAATGTAATTTAAAAAGTTCTAATCAATTGGATTTAACACATAAACATAGATAATTCTTTTGATATGTTGCAACACAAAAGCCTAATACTAATTGTTATACATGTTGTTTGGAGTTTGAATATGTTATTACATTTTTAATCCAAATAAAATATAGTATCCTAATAAATAACTATGATTTGCGGATTAGAATATATTGATTTATTTTTAGAGAATAATTATTAACATTAACCCCATTAAATGTAACTGATTTATTATATATATTAACAATTAACTATATATATTACCACTGCATTGAAATAACTGATTGTTATATATAATTATATAATGTTAAAATTATTATTAAGCTATTAGTGACTGCATTCAATGATTATATGACCACTTAAAAATCTCATAATTGGTAACATAACACAGTAATTCACGACATCAAAGTAAATGTGAAGACATTAATGAAAAAAAAGATCTAAACTGTGAAGACGAATTTTCAAGTATATATATATTGTCGGACATATTTGTTTTTCATTAAAACAAAATCCCCAAAAGGAAAAATTACAAATTCTGATAAGAACCTTTCGTTGACCAAAAGAAAAAAAAAGATAAGATCATTTCATTCCATTTACATTAGTCGTTAACGATCCATCATAGTTTATCTTCGGGCATATCAAACATCCGTTTATAACTCCTTCAGTGCTCGCCGGTGTAATCTAACGTCTTTTACTACAATCTGATTTCGAGGAACCTGATATCTGCAAGAATAATTCAAACACATTGGAGAATTTGATAGCTTGATCTGAGGAAATATTTTAATACAACTGGATTTCTTTGAGCTAAAAAAACTAAGGAAGATAGCAAAAAGGAGAAAGGAGTAACAGAGAGAGTCAAACATATAAGAGCTCCTCAAATCATATTCTCTATATTCCACCTGAAACACCTCACTTTCCGCCTGAAATTCAGATTCTTCAGACCCTAAAAGAACATTTACCAACACTTGCCTACTAAGAAAGCTTGAATCTGCAGTTTGAACAGATATTTATATATTAGAAAGCAAATCATTCTAACATACCTTTACATAAATGTTCGTTTCTATAGTGCAACCTAAAGGAAATTTTCAGTAATCTGGCTAGGAAGACCCATTTTCCTTCATCATTCTACAATAAAGTTCACATGTAAGGACCTATAGAAACTGCTGCAGCATAAAATTAGCAGTCATCCCTTCTTCCATGACTGCAACCTTGGACCATACATTTGTTTAAAAAAAGACAAACTAACAATCATTTTCTTTATTTAGTTATCAGAAGAAAGATTAAGCAATCGAAAGCTTTGAGATATTATAAAGGTTATGAGAATCAGTTAACCCTAATACAAATAAATTCCTTTCGATGGACAGCCAAATTCGTTATTATTTTTCACCAGAAAAGTCATTCAAAGGCAGATAATAAGAGAAAACTTAACATGATCCAAGGTGGCAGCTAATTCTTGAACATTCTTTGCAAGTTGTGTGTATATAACTGGTCGCAAAAGTCATTTTAACATACAAAACTGTGTTCAACTACATTAAACAAGAAGAACAACTAATACGTGGATCGTGTCTCTCTATTTGATCACAGTTTTGTCTTTTCTGATAACATAGAACAACAACACAAAAAAAAAGCATTTTAATTCTTCCTATTGCATATTCAAGTGCATACACAGAGAGAAAGAGAAGCACCACCTTTTATGTCTCTAAATTTGCAGCATGATATAGGCCGTAGGAGGAGTTTTTTGCAGATTTGGCAAAAATTATAGTGTCGCTGTGGATCTGCAGCAACATGGTTGGCTTAAATTTGATTCTCTCCAGACAACATTGGATAGTGAAACTGCAAATCCGCTGATGCAGCTACAGGAGACGGCTGAGAAACCGTGGAAAAGACAGACGAAGAAGTGGTGTTCAAGAACCGGGTTTGGGTCGGCCGATCATTTCCATCAGCTTCTTACCCAAATATGAGCAATGGCCGAGCAGCGGCCGGACTTCAAATCAGCAAGGCGGAGTTAGCCACTATACAAAAAAAATAACTTAGCTTTGGTGTTTATACAGATCTAGATGATGATGTTCAAGGGAAGAGGGCTAACCTTTTTATACCTGCAGATTCACCGTCGCAGAAGAGATGTTCAGTAAAGATCGTGGCTAAAGTAGATAAGAAGATGTTTAATTAGGAATCAAGTGAGTTTGTTTCGGTTGATGGAAAAGGATATCAACGTACGCGATCGGAACTCTACAAACAGAATGAAGACGCCAACTTCAGGAACACAATCTCTCGAATGACATGACGAAGATAATAGAATAGGAAGAACCCTAACATTCGACTCGCCGCGTAGAGAGAAAATTAAGACTGCTCGCCATCGGGCTAATTTCATTAAGGCAAAAGTAAAGCCCAACACAATAGCGAAACCCATACTTATCGTCAATCTGTTATTGATATGCAGCGTTTAATACTGAAGGATAGGTGTCGCACTGACATTGTGCGATTTGATGACATGGCATATTTAAAAAGAGGGAAACTCTTCTTTATATTTATACTAGGATTGACCCGCCCTACGGGCGGGATGGTAAAATGAAAAATTACATAAGTTGTTCATGATCAGGTAGCCCAAACATGAGTAAGGAATCAATGTGAGATGACAATAAACTTGCTTGAGCCATGATTATACTTGATACAACAAATGCTTACTTTTATATCAATAGTAAGAAAAATTGCTTCCCATGTCTGCACCCAACTTTAACCTGGTTCAAACACATTTCACAACCAGGTAACAAACTATAAATGTGCCAATTTGTATTTATAGTGCTTCCCCGCTGCCAGAATTAAAAATCTAGAGACTACAGAAGACTCACTTAAATCAACATCACATCCAGCATGAGTTTCTAATAAAGCTAGAAATGCCATTCTGATAACATCCCTTGGAAGGTCACGCTTTCAATGTATTATATGAGGAATCCCACATGTATATAATGTACTACTGATCAAGCATGCATTCTCCATACTTCTTGAAAACTCTCAAACATAAAAGGAATAAAATAAGTTCAGAAGGAGGATGTCTACTTTGTTAAAGGTTTGATTGTTTAGTCACATATCACACTTACTTATCTACTCCGTTACAAATTAGTCAGAGTTTTCATATTCGTCCTACACTATCATTGTTTTTGTTTTCTCCTGCTGCTGATCTCAAAGAATGTTGAAGACTTTGTACAACCTGTAACAGAAAGCTATTTCAGTACTCATGTAAGTTGAAGATTAAATAAAATTTTGGTCGGATACATCAGAGAAGAGGAGATGACTAAGTTTGTTAATATTGTTTATATGTTTAACTCAGGATTAGGCCTCGGATTTGGACATATCTGGTGCTGCAAATCTACATGATATCCTGTAAAGCCAGAAGCTAAGTGATGTCTTTGTAAAGTTCAATGTTGAATGTCGCAAAAACTTTCAGATATTTAGCTTATATTTAAGCAGATTTGGCTCTGTCAGAAAAAAATATACAAACAGTATTATTAATAAGTTAAAACAATAAATCACGATCTGGAGACCTTTGCTTCCTATAACCTTAAGAAAGACATACCTTTGCTTTATAGCGGACCACTGCAAACGTTTATTAATTGGTCAGAACTGCTAGCATGAATCAAAAGTATTCAAGCCAACAATTCCAACGCACTATGGGATGGAAGCACCAGCTCCTCCTTCGGAAAAATGTAACCCAGGCTGTCGTGTTTCATTTTGGAAACAGCGCAACACTGTTCTGCACAACAACACCTCACTTACCAATGAAACTATTTTTAACACAACGGATCGTGAGAGCAAGAACACTATCTCTGCAAGGAAGAACCGAAAGTTCTTTAGGTGACACTAAAATTAAGTTATATTGTTGTAAATCTTGTTTAAGTTTAATGATATTAACAGTAGAAAAAACAAAACAGTTAAAAAGTAAAAAAGGCCAATCCAATTTATAAGTGTTTCTTAAAAACTTTGTAAGGTTTTAAAATTCCATCACAAAACTTGAACTTTCAGATGTTTAACTAACAAATGGATGTAATAGCTTGATCAGTTTTGATGTTTCTGGATTGTAACTTTAAAAGTGAGTTGTAGAAAGCTTTAGAGGTTTTGATAAGGATAGATTACTTGGATGTTTGTGTAAACTTGCTTCAAACACTGCTTGCTCCGTTGATTTTCTTGAATTCTTCTTTGCTGTCTTTGAAGGCCTGCAAAGATAGAATCACTATTTAAAATTTGAGTCGTCTTGGTAATATCTTGATCTTTTTAAATCCCAGAATGTTTAAATAAAAAAACATATTTCCTGCTCCAGATTAACACCACATCAACCAAATTAGAATTTTATCCAAACAAATCTAACCCCAAAAAGAAATTAATATTTTTTTCAAGCTTTGTAGAAACTGAATCCAGGAATAAACTTGAGAAGATGAAACTGATTTCATAAATCGATCCAATAAATAAAAAACCTTTAATCAAATTCAAACGCTGGAAAAGCTTAAACCTTTCGAAGATTTGCTTGAGTGTATATGAAAAATTCCTTAATCAAAATTTCAATGACTTTTGAGATCTTATCAAGGTCACCCGAAAAGGTTAAATTATTCACAATGGCATTAATGAAAAAATCAGAATCTCAATACATATCAAGAATAGATATATTGTGCTCCACTTAAAAAAAAAAAGAAGAAAACTAACCGGTTAGAAGAACGGCAATGATTGACGGTGAAGGCGACGAAGGAAAACGGCACTATCAAGGTGCCTCGAAAACATGAACAAATTGAATGAAAATCAACAAACGTCTGCGAAATTATCTCCCAAATAGGTGAATAAAGATTTTGATCTTGATTAAAAAAATTGATTAAGAAGTCTGATAATACTGAGTTTAATGTTGGCTTTTATGACGATGAAGTTTTGGCGGTGTAGATTAAACTTTTTATAACTGGAGCAGCACCGACTGAAAGGGGATGATGCATTGAATTAGAAATTGTGTTCGTAGTAGAAGATAGTTTATTGTTAAAAATCAATGCATCAGTATCAATGGATCTGTAAGGGCTCTAGGAAGAAGAAACTGAGGCGAAACGACACCAAGATATCTCAAACCAAAGTATCGTCATTACAAATTGTTTCAATTTACTCTGTTGAAACTCCATTGTTAGAGATGAATGAAAGGTCGAAGAACACGGCAAAGACTTGATATTGAATGGCCTCATTCTTGAAGAAGGTGAATGTGATAGCTGGGCTCAGATATAGTTTTCTTAATAGTCCAAATAAATAAGATGAAGACCCAACATTTTAACGGTAAAGCCCACATATAATCCAAAAACAAAAGAGTACGAAACTCAAATTTTTAAGACATGTGTCACAACTGCAAGTCTCTATTTTCTGATGTGGCACCTTTAAAACAGAGAAAACCTTACTTTATAGTAATAGATATATATACAGATATTTTTTTCAACATTTCAAGTCATGGGTTTTCAACACAAAAAATGTTTATAACCAGTCAAACAAATTGAGAAAGATCATTTCCAATCTACAACACGTCAACATCATGTATGAATTTGCTTGAGAGTTGTCACGTGTCAAATACACAACTAAACATGATTGTGGATGCAGGCCAGGCCTAATTCGCAGATACTTACTATAGAGTCAAATATTTTCCAACCATGTAATTTGGAACTTTGGTTTTATTACTTGCTCGAATCATACAGAAGTTTTCAAATTATTAGTTGATACAAAAAAAAACATTGAAATTAACCTCAAGAAGTTTTTGAGAAGCGAGATTCAAGAGTGTCATGTGTTTATGGAAACCCTTGAGGGATACTTGGGACAGAAGGCAGCCAATTATCGGATTCGTCGAATCTTGGACCAAATGGTTCAGAAGGAGGAGGCTGGTCTAAGAGCGGCAAGGGCGGGAAATCTGGGAGAGAATGCCAAACCGGTACCGGTACCGGAAACCTACCCTTTTCAAGATCTGGAAATGTTGGCGGTGGCGGAAGGAGAGGCAAATCTGGCGGAGGCGTGGCTATTGGTTCTTGGAAAAACGGAAAGTCAGGGAACCCAAGGTCGTGTACCGGTGAGTTACGACCGGAAGATGGATAGTCATCAGCGCTAATCTGAGCCACATTAGCCTTGGTTGATCTCACTAGCCGTGATGCAAATATTTCTTCGGAGTTGAAGAGTAAGAAAAACGTTATCACGACGACGTATCTAAGCACAAGTGAAAAAGAAGCCATTGTGTATTAGTGTGGATTAGATGATGTTTTGGCCTATTTTGTACTAATAGAGTTCATCAAGTTTCAGATTTATAGGTTTTAATTTAAGTTGTTGACCATTGTTAAGTCTTCGTTTTGTATTCTGCATTGTGTTCCTACTTTCAAACAAAGTACATGCTAATAAACAAAGTCAAACGTCATGTTAACTTCGAGTGTTTGACCCTATTAGGTCAACGGCAAGAAAAAAAAAAAACCTTTTCGCACACACTATATGGTCTTGTGTTCATTTATCTAATCAAAACCAAACCCAACAGAATGAAAGAAAAAAAAAAGACTAGACCTTCATTTTCTCTAATATTTTTTCCTAACCGAAACCATAACACAGCATTTAGATTTTCAAAACAATTCAGAGAACTGAAACTAAAGTGACCACTTTCTTCCTTTTCTGAATTAATATGAGAAATCTTAAAAAATGATCCTTTCAAATTATGAAAACTTCTGTGTACCAGAACTTGTATTATACCTCAAACTCAAAGTGTGCTTCCGGCCATGGCTTCATATCTTGATAACCTTCTTTTTGCTTTCTCTAAATCTTAAATGAAGAACAAAATGAATAACGTACCATACTATTTGGGCTTCCCAAAGTGATCATATATTTCACTGACACATAAAATTCACCGCATAATCTGCTCAAAGACGAGAGGCAGAACCAGAGAGACAACAAATTACTAAGAGTTGTTTATATCTCCTAGTAACACTTTGCTTTAGGTCACAGGATTTTTCATTTCTTATTTAGCTGTACATTGATACCTCCAAAAATCCCAGCAGCAGGAAACGTTTTCAGAAAAGTCTCTGGTACAGCAGCACCAAGAAGGTACCAAACAGTTGGAGACCATGTGAACCTCAACAGACCACCAGCAAAGCAATGGGTGTCGAGCTTAAGAACGTCCCCATGGAGGTCTCCTTGAAAGGGTCCATGATTTAACACTTACAAAAGCTACAGAAACTGCCTTGCCAAGGAAGTAGCATAAACTTATGCTAATCCCAACTTCCTGACCAAGGAAGTTATTACAGATTAAACTCGATATCTCAGTTTTTTTCCAAGACTCAAATTTGGTTAAATTCTACAGTTCCCATGTTGAGCAATACAAAAAAAAAAAATCGAAGAATTTTGTATTATTATCAGATGGCATTAGCGCAAGAATAGAACATTTATTGTTCTAATTTTACATTTCTAACGCTAAGGTTAGGTTATTTGTTTACTGAAAAAAATGCTGAGTAAAAACGAACAAAAGATTCTGAATAAATGCTCCCAACAAACAAAGAAAAGAATCAGAAAGAAACTTCTTCTATCTACTCAAAAGGTAGTCACTGTTGTGTCTCGGTGATGGTAAATAGTCTTTGAGCTTCTTTTACATCAAATCTACTCCAAAGAGTTTTCCTTTGGATAAACCCACGGAGCAGTTTGATGATATGAAGTGATCTTTTGATTCGGATTGAGATTGCTTCTTGTGGTTCCAGTACTCTACTAGTTTATGGTTCGGGTCAAGAGCTTCAATGGCCTGTATAGAGATGATTTAAATTGTGTAAGAGTAAAGCTCCTTCAACAGGTTTTATAGAACAAGAGTTGGTTTAAAACGTTTACCTGAACTATAAACGGCGAGAGGAGACCAAACATTTGAAGCCCGTTAATACTTTCAAGCTGCGGTAAAGTAGTAGGAAGATCAAGATTTGTGGATGTATCTTTAACTCTCTTCAACACCGTGTCCCAGCATTGTTGAGCTGAGACATTGAAGAAGCTCACGTCTGGAGATTCTTCCAGAGTAACCTGAACAACAACAGGAGATTAAAAAAAAGTCATGTGTGTTATACTTGTTGCTGCTTTTGAAGTATCTAATAGAATGTTAACAGGGAAAATAAAAAGATTTACCTTGAACAATGGGCCCATGAGTCCTGCATCCAAAACCTCAGAGATGTAATAGCTCTTTCTTGTTGGATCAAGCACGTTGTAGAACTTGACACGGCTCGTGAATCCTGTTAAATGTAAGAGAATTAAAACATCAACAACAATAATCTTATGAGAAATGTTGCTTCAAATCAATAATATATAACTAAAGGGTTAGTCAAAGAGTGTACCTTTTGGGAATATAGCATCCTTATTGCACCAAAGCTTTCCAAAAATCAAGAAACCGAGGTTTATAGGCTCCACCGATGCACTAAAATTCTCTGAAGTGTTTAACTCGCCACTGGTGCTGACTTCTTCTTTCACCTCTTCGTGATAATCCAACTCTAAGTCGATGTTCAGATCAAACGAACCTTCCTTTAGTGTCTCATCCTCCTTGATAACTGAACTAGTCTTATTCTGATCTTCATCACTGTGTTCAATACCTAACACCTTGGAAGCCCATATTTTTAAATCATCTGGCTCCCCTTCCAATGCTTTGACCAACGAGCTTAACTCCTCCATGGTGTAACGTACAACGACAAGTCTATCCTTCTCTTCACATGAACACAGATCGTCGGAGTGTTTAAGACAAACATATTCTTCAGGAGAGCACTTGCAGCCAGAAGCTGAGAGATGCAAATCATAATAGCATGAGAAGCATTCCCTTTCACAATTTGAATCAAAGTCCTTCTCCATCTTCACCAAGCTCGAAGAATCCCTACCAAGATTCGCAAGTCTTTCTTCTTCCATCCGTAACCGAGCCTATAAACATTTTAGGACAAAACAAAAACGAAACAATTAAGTATAATTTTCAGAAAGTTGAAACAACACTTTAAGTAGCATAACTCAAGTAGTGACCGCTTTTTCATTACCTGGACAGCGTTGGTAAGTGTTCCGTTCTTCCCACAGAAACTTTTCCATCTCAAGTTTGTTGGGTTTTCATTTCTCACAGAAGCTGAGAGTTCCCAAAGAGCCCTTAAAGCTTCATAAGCTGCTCCGAGGAGAAGTTTGTCATGCGACAAAGAAGTCTTCCTCGTCTCTTTACTGTATAGTTCCACAGCGTTCTGTCCATGAGCCAACCAATCAACCGGAGCTACATTAACAGCTTCTGCACAGTTGAAACCGGAGTTGAATCCAGCATGGTACGCCCTAGGGAATGTCAGTACATACTCCCCTGCTTTCTGAACCACACGATAAACCTGGACTCCCTCATCTTTTAGAATTGAAGGAGAAAATTGAGTAACCTAGAACCAATAAGAAAAAAAAGAATAGTTAGTGCCTAAACATCGAGATGAAAACAACAAATTATATAGATGTTTTCATCCTAACCAGGCCATGAAGTAGATCAGGCTGTTCGTCAAACAAATCAGGTAGATGTTTTCTCATCGCCTTTTCGAGTGCTGTTGCATTGCTTCCTGGAACGCCATACCATACTTTTGGCTCCCCAAAGTGATGATAGTTTAATGAATATAAGTGATGGTCCTCCACATGCTATCAAAACACACAAAAAAAAAAAAAGAAAAAGAAAAAATGGATCAACCATCTGGCACGACTGGGTGTAAAAAAAGTCATAACCAATAAAAGTGTGAGAATGTCCTTACCCAACAAAATGATGAAAAACACATTCCTACATAGAGCCAAGGGACTAGAACTCCAGAGATATCACAATCCTCAAAAGAAAGAACAGAGCCGGGGAGACGCGGTAGGTTATTCAAGTTCCAGCCAGAGACTACGTACTGATCCACATCGCTATCCCCTTTCTTGTAAAACCCGCTTCCTAGTACTACGTTCTCCAAGTCAGCTCCATAGTATACCTGAAACAAGCGAAAAAACAGCCTTAGTTTAGATGTAAAATGTATGTGTTTTAGAGGTGAAATGGTATGTTTCTATCTATACCTCAACTTCATCTGTTGGTTGCTCCACTATCCGCCAGTATTCGCCTTCGATTTCCTCAACAGACGGTGTCCATTTCGCATCACCAACAGAGTCTTTCTTCTCAAAGTAAGCCTCTTTAAAAAGCTGAGCATATTTCTCAAACTCATCGAGAGTGAAGTCTGAACCAGAGTTAAAGCCGAACTTCTCCTCGGCCTCAGGAGAGGAAGCAGGTTCAGAGGGAGAAGAACCAGAAGCAGAAGAAGAAGCCGATCGTCTCCTAGAGGAACCCATCTTGGAGTTTCTTCTCCGTTTACGTTTCCTGCTCTTTGGTTTCTTCTTCATGGGTTCCCGGTTCTGTAGTAGGTCCACGTTCTGGATCCGAGTGGGAAACTTGGTATGCTCCCATATACTCGTCTCCTTAAGCCGGCAAGGAGGGGTCCATGTGGGTGGTGGGATGATTCGACATATACCGTATGGCTCTGCTAATGGACGTATCTTTTCTATATATGCAAGTGTATCTTCAAACTCCTAATAACCCCAACATCAAACGAAGACGAACTCAAAACATGAACAAGAACAAAGAAAAAATAAACAAGAAGCAATGAGTACCTCTAGTGATGGAGAGAAAACAGGAGCTTCATCAACGATTGGTCTCTGCGCTTCATCTGGTAACCATCTAGCAGTAACCTTCACACATACAAAAAAGAAAAAAAGCATTATGTAAGATCAATGTTGTTTTAAAGAATTTAAAGATTCTAAGAACCGGCATCCAATTACATATAACACCAATAATAATACTATTTACCTTGCGATGACGTGGACTAGTAGGTGGTTCCATATTAGTGTCTTTGTCCGTATCCTTGTCTGGTGGATTATTCTTCAGAGACATATCCTGTAAAGAGTTACAGACATGTGTTTTAATTATGCCCAACAACAAGGAATGGAGATCAACAGTTTGAATATGTGTCCACCAGAAAGAATGATGAACAATCTAGATTTCAACATAATCTATCATCTATGATTAGGGTTTTTGTTTGGCCAAGGCAAGCAGATCCGAGAATAAAATGTAACTCTGTTAGAAATCTACCATGAACAAAATCACAGGTAATTTACAATCTGAATTGATTCAAGCAGATTGTGGTTTTGAATGATTTAAGATAATAAACCAAAAACGGTGATTCAGTTATCCATCACATCAGATAGGAATTACCAATGGAAAGCTAACCTGTTTGATCTGAGATTGTGATGGAGAAACACTGAGATGTTCCATAAGAGTTCGAATCACTGCTCAGAGAAGCGAATTCTGGAAGCTAAGTTTCTTCGATTGAGAGCCAATGAAATCTGAGAAAAAACAAACACCAAAAAGATAAGAAAACGATGTTATCAATTTTAAAAGAGAGAACAAAAAATATCCCGAGGCTATCAAAATTCATACAAGTTAAAAAGGCCTAACCCTAAACTGAATTCAGGAGGATCAAAATCAACAATTCAATCATCCACAATCAAAATCAAAATCAAAACCAAAGAGAAACAGAGAGTTTTTTCATAAGAAATTAGAAGACAATTATAATATATATTGCGGATTTTGGTTTACCTAATATTGCAAACGAGAGAGTTTTTCCTAATTAGTGCTCTTTAGGAATTGAATTCGCAGTTAAAAACAGAAATACCCAAATCTGGGAAAATTAATGAGAGGGAATTTAATTGACCTAGCTTAGTAACCGATTCACAAGGAACACAGAGATATATACAAAAAAAAAAAAAAAAAACAAACCGAACTTAACCAGCAAAGGGAACTCATAAATTTTGATTAAATTAAAATATTACTTAATTACTTAATAAGGTTTAAGAAAAAAAAGGAAAGGTCGAAGACAGATGAGTTAACCTCAGAATAACGGCTGAGATTTCTTGCGATTTTTTGCTGAATCCACGAATATTTTCTTATGGAATATAAAAATAATTATTAAAAAGTCGAAATATCGGAACTTGTAAATTGTACGAAAAATGAATAAAATGATTAGAGAGATGAGACAGAGAAAGACAAGAAAATTAGTTTTTCTTTTTTTTTTTCTGGGGAAAACGAGGAAACCGGAGAACACCCGCCCAAACGCACGCACACAGTTTTTAACGGATCAGCGTTAGATCACTTAGCTGACGACACGGTCCACACAACGTACGATCCTTCTCTACATGTTTTGTTAGTTTACCATATTACCCTCATGATATATGTCTATCTACGGTTGTTTGCCATTATTCCTTTCTTCCGTCATCGGTGTCATGGTTTGATCTTCAGGATTTTGTTTCCTTTCCGCGTCGGAAAAAAAAAGGGTAAATTGTTTGACCGTTTCTTTTCTCTTTTTATAACTAAAACGCGGTCGATTCTAGGTTAAATCTCATTTTTTAACCCCGTCATTTCATATTTCTTCTTTTTCTAAACTATTACTTTGGAATATATCAAAAAGAAGATATTATCAGAAAAAGTACATACAGTTATGTTTGATTAAATAAAGAGATTTAGATAAAATCTCATAAGTTTGACTACAGAAATCACTGAAAGGAATAATGAAACAATGAGGAAAGCTAAAAGAAGCAAAAAGTGCGAAAAGGGAAGATTAACTAGGAGTACTTTTCAATCGATCAGAGAACCAGGACTAGTCTTCTTGTGTTTTGGTTCTGTCTTGTCTTCTTTTACTTCTCCCCTGTTTGCTCTCATTCCAGGAGCACAATCCCTCACCTGACCAATAAGCACAATACATTCAGAAATATATTTTTTACGTATCGAATTTTTCACTAAAATATATATGTTTAAAGTGAAGGTGTGTGATTACAAGTCGAGCAACGTAATCAGCTACAAAGGCGCTTGTGCTCTCACTCTCAGGGTTTGGCTGCAAAAAGTGTAAAAGCGTTATTATTACATACAAAGCCAAGATCTAAGTACATTATTCACTGTAAGAAAAACAAAAGATAACTCACGGTAAAAGGAGAAGTTGCAGTTGATTCAGTTTCTGCATTTGCTTTACGTTTCCTCTGGTTAATTTGAGGAGGAATAACCCGGTTAATTTGAGAAGGAACAGCCCGGTTATTATGAGGAACAAACCGGTTTACTATAGAAAGATTAACCAGATTGACTTGAGGAGGAATAACCCGGTTAATCTGAGGATGAACAATCCGGTTAACTTGATGGGGAATAAGTGGGTTAGTTTGAGGAACAACCCGGTTAACTATAGAAGGATTAACCAGGTTTTGAGAAGGAACAACCCGGTTAGTCTGAGGAGGAACCCGGTTAACTTCTTGACAAATAACCCAGTTACCTTGAGGAGGACCAACCCGATTAATCTGAAGAGGAACAAACTGGTAAAATGAACTATCCCCATCATTCGTTTCCTAAACCAAAAAAAGTAACATTAGGCATAATGAAGAGATGCATACAATTCATACAACTTACAAAATGATAAGAGAAAAACGGAGAGACTTTACCTGTGGATGTGTGACGTGTTTGCATGGATAACATTTAACAGATCGATCGTCCTTTTGATATATGATTGTTGCATTACATCCACCACAGACCAGAGTTTTAAGACTAGGCATGGGACACCAGGAACTACAACAAGGACATTTCACTGTTCTTCCTGTGCTGCTTCTATAAGATAAGTTAAATTTACAGTGTTTACATGGAAGCCTAGCTGCAATCAGATGCCCTATAATAACAAATCAAGATCTTAAATGATTTGATGGTGAAATAACTATGTTATAAGGAAAGCAAAGAAACAAAGTTCGATTTGTAGATACCGAGATGAGGTGTGAATGGAATGTGACATTGTGGACACTCTATTCTTAGTCCATCTGTTTCAAGCTCAGCAAAATGAATTCTTCCTCATCTGTTTGCTTGGTTCTGCATAGCTCTGAGAACACACAATGACATAAACCAAAGAAGATTTAACAATCAAAATTTTCGAAACATTAAAGGCAATATCAAAAGGTTTTGTTTACCACAAAGATGTGAATTTTTTCTGATATTATGAAATAGATTATGAGATGAAGCAAAGAGTCTTTTGCTGGTCCTTTTTATTAACCACGAACAGTCACAAACGTACGTTTTTAAGCAACTCTTCATGTATAGAGTTTTAATGTATTTTTATTAACTTGGAAAAATTCTTATCTATTTTAGCTAATTTTTTCCCCTATATAAATGCTCTATATAAATACTCCAAAAGAATGAAAATTCCTCTCTATTTTTCTCTCAAAAGGATATAAAATAATTTTAAACACATCCATCCGCGCCTATACAAAATATACCTTATTTCTCGAAAATATTAAGACGCGGTTAAATGTGTTTCAAATAAGATGTGTAGTAACAGTATTTTGTTTTAAACACACCCTACAGTGTTTTTATACACAATGTATCTTATTCTTTTAGAAAAAAAAAGATTTATGCCAAATGCACATCAAGGTTTTAGACGAGGTTGAATGTGTTTCAAATGAGATACATGTACGGAGATGTATTCAACTAGAAATTTAAGATGACTTACGGACAAATCCATTGTTATTTTTTTCAACTAACCATATGATTAGACTAAGTTTTGATTGTACGAGATGTTATTTCAAAGAACACCTTCATTTGTTCATGTTTGATCTTAGTGAAAATAATACGCTGCTGAGCATAGCCTCCATTACTAGTGAGTCCGCATAGACATTTTTGCTTCTCAGACCGAGTGGACTTGTATATGTCTTAGGCCTGTTCAATCTGATGTTCGGTCCGGTTTCGGTTCGGGTTTTTTCGGTTATTCGGTTTATAAAAATTAGCTACCATATTGGAACCATATTTAGTTTGGTTTGGTTCGGTATTTATACTACCGGTTTTCAGTTTATTCGGTTTTATACCAAATAACATTATTATTTGATTTGGTTTTATATTATATGATTTTTTTAAAAAAAAATATTGTCAAAACTATCATTTTTTATTAAAATAATCATAGGTGTTCATAAATATAAAAATGTAAAATTAACAACAAACAAAACGACCAAAGAGTTTTGTACATCTTTTCTTATTTTCTCTTTGTTCTTCCAACTAAATTACATGGTATAATCTAATTTCACAATTTCTTACAACATGCAAAATCAAATCAAATTTAGATAATAGTTGAAGAAAATAAATAAAATTATTAAGATATATATTCATAAGGAATAAAAAAGTAAAAAAAAAAAGATTATTCCAAGAAAATAAATGGTTATATAATGTATATATTTATATATTTTTTCTTTGATCGGTTTTGTTCGGTTTATTCGGTTTTATCGATTATAAACCTAACCATATCCAAATCCTACGGTTTTTATAAAATCATATCCATTCGGTTTATATGGTATATACCAAATCCAAACCATATTGTGTATTTCGGTTCGGATCGGTTCGGTACGGTTCGGTATTACCATATTGAACAGCCCTATGTCTCATACATGATGCTGTCCAGAGTAATCTTTCCATCTCATCGTGTAGAGATGAGATGTTTCTGTTACAACCACATATACTAAATGATCCAATCCCCGTTTGATCCTCAAGACTTCACCCTAAACCACTAATTGTGCCATTATCGATCCATGAAGCATCGGTTTGGCTAGTTGAAATTTGGGATATCTAAGAGGGTTCTGCCTTAAAAAAATGTATAGAGGATCCTCTGTTTCTTTTTTTTTGATTGACTTTTCTCCAACATTCTGCTTTAAGAGAATCAAGTTGGAGAATGTTAACCTGAGATATGATTTTTCTTGAAATGTGTCATTCTTCGCTTTCTGAATGTACCATCATCATATCTATAGAAAGATGCCAATTCATATTTTGGTATATAGATGTTACATAAATTTTCAATGTTATTCAACTTAATATATGATAAACTGTTTTGAAATCTATGATTATTGAACAAATTTTAAAGGATAACTGTCATGATTCTTCCATTTATTTTAAAGTGTTTTTGTGGAGTAATTTCAAAAATAAAAGTTTAAATTTATAGTTTTATATGAAATTTTAAAATGTTTAGTGAAAATCATAGTTAAAACTCAATTGACCTAAAACCATCTAAAACTTATTAAAATCAAGTCACTTCAAAATTTAGACTAAATAAACTCCATGTGGTAGTGTTTGTTAGTATGGGTTTCTTATTCAAACTAAATTTTGGGGTAGTAATTACATACATTTTCTTTAACCTGTACAGTTCAGTTTAAATAAGAAACAAAAACTTCAGTCTTTTGTTATGAGATTTTATTCATCAGATGCTTGATGCTTCTTTCACACAGACAAACCAAATCGAGATACAAAATATTCCAACGGTACAATATGATCATATGACATCCCTTTTGATTGAAAAAAAAACAAAGCAGGGGTTATCAACCGCGATTTTCAGAAGTTTCTAGAGTCTTTCCAGAACATAGATTCTGTTTAAAAGAGTCGAAAAACCTGATAAAAGCTTGGATCATATGTACAGAGGATAGACCCTAAGTTTATAAAAGGGAAAAAGCAAACCAAAATCCAACATGAAGCAATTCTAATGCAGAGATAAAGAGGGAAAGTTTGCAGCTATCTAGTGTAGAGGCCATTGCAGTATCCGTTATTGTGTCTTACATCAGCCATGCCATTGAGAGCTTTCTTGGAGGTTCCATTGACGACAACACTTTTTGGACCGTTACTAATCAGATGTTGATGAACAGATGCTGGATTCATGACTGTGTCTAGCTCACCACAAGATGCTGCAATGAGTCCTGCAAGAAAAGAAAGAAAGAAAGAATGTAAATGTTTTGTTGTGTTGATTCAAGAGAGATAGAGATGTAAAAGTTTGGAATGGGTCCTGACCTAAGAAGAGAGGAGAAGCTTTCCCGGGTCTGGATTTGTACTCTGGGTGGAACTGAGCACCAATGAAGAAAGGATGGTTTGGAAGTTCAACAATCTGCCAATGAGTCAAAGGACTTGAGTTTGCAGAAAATGGATTTGAACTGGTAACAAATAGTTTTGAAGGATTAGAAAATAGACCTCCATGCGTTTGCCAGTTTCATCTTTAGCAGCAAAAGAGAGACCTGCCTTCTCTAGCCGTTCAACCATATCAGGATTCACCTCGTATCTATGGCGATGCCTCTCATCAACAAAACTTTTGTTCCCGTAGCTGTAATAAATAACAGAGTAGACAGAAGCATCATGGTAAGTAAGCTTATACCACATACAGAGTAGACTTAAGATGGTTATTACAGTTTTGCAGATTTGTTGTCTTTGACAGTGAAGATGGATTTTCTTGATCCTAGGCGCATAGTACCTCCCATATGAGTTCTTGAACCCTAAACTCCCACCAAGCACAGAAAATCAAGTTAGATCTAAGCAGGACAGATTTTCAAGTAAAGAGAGACAGAGAGGGAGAATCTAAGAACCTCAGGCATGAATACGATGCATGGATGTTTGGTGTCAGGTTTGAACTCTGTGCTGTTTGCGTCGTGCAAGCAGAGAACTGATCGTGCAAACTCAATGACAGCGACCTGCATCCCGAGACAAATACCGAGGAAAGGGATTTTGTTTTCACGAGCGTACTTTGCAGCAAGAATCTTTCCTTCCACTCCCCTGTCACCAAAACCTCCAGGTACAAGAACTCCATCTACATCCTGAAGTTATATGCTAATAAACATGAGTGGAGAAACACACACAGAAAGGCTTCTTGATGATTGAATGTTGTAGAATGGAAAACATTTTAAACCTTCAGCAACTTCCAAGCAGCTTTATACGCATTTGGATTCTGCATAAACAGAAAAAAGAAAAACATGATTCTTTTTTAAGAACTTGTGAACACAAGAAAAGGCGTATATACATGTGTAGTTAACATGTCTCAATCACGGACCTCTTTCTCAGTTTCCTTCTCGAGATCACAAGCTGGAACCCAATCAACTACGAGCTTTTTGTGACAAGCGACAGAAGCATGTAATAGAGCCTAATACAAAGAAGATATACAAATGTGAGTTTACTCAGGCAAGGAGAAGTAATACTACTACCCCATGAGGTGATGTGTAAGTTCTACCTTCAAGATGGAGAGATAGGCATCAGAGAGGCCTGTATATTTCCCAACAACAGCGATTCTCACCTGTAAAATGGTTTAGTGCATAAGAAAAAAGACATTGAGTTTACTGATTATAAAGAGTTAGTGGAAGCTGAAGACCCACCGGTACGTGTAAGCTGTCACATAACTCGGCTCTTGAAGTCCATTCCTCTAGAGAGGGTTCTTTAACAATACTGTTTCAGTAATAACAGAGATCACTTCCAATTCATTTGAGTTGTAAACGCAACCCACTACATGACAAGAAAACAAAGAACAAAAGAACAAGATGTGTAATATAATACATACCTAGCAAGATTGAGCACTTTTGAAATTGCCAAATGAGCCTTCTGATCCTGTTCAAGGGAGTATGCACATTGAACATTTTTTCTATAATAGTAACTGGTGCAGTGATTACAAATACATTTAGTTGAGAAAAAGTTACCTTAAGCAACAGAGGAATGTGCCAAATGTTGGGAACATCGTAGAGGGTGAAGATAGACTCTTGCTGTAACAAGAAACACAAGCTGGTAAATAACCGAGACTTAAAAGTTGATAACATAAACACAAAGGTAATCAATCATCTTGCTGTAACAAGAAACACAAGCTGGTAAATTTTACAAGTTGATAACATAAACACAAAGGTAATCATCTTACAGGGACATGACAAAATTGAGCTAGCTTTTCTTTCACATTCTCCTCGAGTGCCTGAATGAAGAATAAAGTTTGAGGCTTTTGCATTAAATGATCAAGGAGATACA